GTTTTTGATTCAGGCACTAAGTTTTGAGTTAATTTGTTACCTGACAGTACACAGCTAATACAATGAAAAAATTCACCTGGGCCAATATGTTTTGTTCCCTCGTTAGCTTTTGACGTTCTCGGTTGGGCTTCGTGATGAACACATCCAGTACTTCTTGTCCATTATTAGGCACATCAGCAACAAAGAAGATGAGGTCTTCGAGTAGTTTGGTTACAAACCTATCATAAAATGAAAAGGAAATCTTACTCTATGTTACGCTTAATTTTGAAAAATAAGAAAGCAACAACACTAAGAATGGAAACACTAGAAAACAAAGTAATTTTTACAGCAAACTCTAACATTTAGCGCAGTGACTGTTAACTACATCTTTACAAGAAATGCCCCTTCCTCCTCTCCCAGACAGCACTTCAAGTTCCAGTCAGGCATTCTAATACAGTCACGTGAGCCCGCCGACACACACCGAGCCAGGCTGACCAACCGGCAGACGAGAGCAGCTGCGCTTCTAGGGTCCTGAGTTCTCACCACTTGACAATTACTTAAACCGATATTTTCTGAATCCAGGGCGAATGATTCCTACAGGACCAGTGGTGTGAGTGGCGATACTGGGAGGGTCGAGGGAGGGTGGGTTGGAAAGAGGGAACCGATTACAGGGATCTACATATAACCTCCTCCCTGGGGGACGGACAACAGAAAAGTGAGTGAAGGGAGATGTCGGACAGGGCAAGATATGACAAAATAAAAATGTACAAATTATCAAGGGCTCATGAAGGAGGTGGGAGAGGGGAGGGAGGGTGAAAAATGAGGACCTGATGTCAGGGGCTTAAGTGGGGAGCAAATGTTTTGAGAATGATGAGAGCAATGAATGTACAGATGTGCTTTACACACTTGATGTATGTATGGATTGTGACAAGAGTAGTATGACTCCCTAATAAAATGATTTAAAAAAACTGTATTTCCTAATCATTACCACATTTTGATCTCTTCAACTTAGAAGAGAAAAAATTTAATGACCTGGAATAGAAACCGAGTAAGCAATCAGATGCTCTAAATTCTAGGAGAATATGAATGTATTTATCTCTCAAAAGCATTTCGTATTCTAAAACTATCCAATTCCACCTTTTATTTTTTACTATTATAACTCTCATTTAGTCCCTAAAGCACTTTGGAGACGTTTCCTCCTTTAGATTCCTCTCTCCCCAGTATGCCAGTTCTTTGGTTTTAATTTGGTTAAAAATAGATAACATTGAACAAGTCAATGATATTTACCTGCACAATTTAGTGACAGTGGTTCCATCAATCATGTGGCTTAAGAATCACCACTGTCCTTTCTAAAATTATTCCACCACTAATAACAGAAGCTCAGTGCCCAAAGAAACAACGGCTCCCTGCTTTTCTCCTCCATCCGCCCTTGCAGAAAGCTAATAAGCCTGGGTCTCCCTCTATTTGCCTACTTCACATCACTTGTCCTGGTGGCAGACTTATGCCACTCAGCATGTTTTCACAGCTCATCCACATTGGAACATGTATCCAGACTTCATTTCCATCTTCTGTTGCTATCTAATATGTACCACATGTGCTTATCCAGTATTTGTTGATGGACATCTGGGCTTTTCCACCTTTGGGTTAATGTGAAGACAACCGCAATAACACCAGCTCAAAAGTTGCTGTTTCAGTTCCTGCTTTCAATTATTTGTGGTATACACTAGAAATGAAATATGATATCTCTATATTTGACCTTTTCAGGAAACTGTGAACTTTGTACCACAGTGGCTGAATCGTCTTACGATTCCACTGGTAGGCAGTAAATTTTCTAATTTTTCCATGTTTTTGGCAGCACCCACCACATTCATTTTTCTATCATAGCAGTCTTAGTGGTGGCCATGGGATGTCTCATGAGTAAGAGGCTGGAATAGACATTTCACAAAAGAAATACAAACAGCCAAAAAGCACACGAAAAGATGCTGAGCATCATTATTGATTAGGGAAATTAAAATCAAAACATCAATAAAGTTATATTTTTAAATAAGACAAAAACTGTCCATGTCATCCCCTTACAGAAGGGTCTCAGGGAAGAGACAAGCCAGTCAGGGTGAAATGTAGCAACGAAGAAACATACAACTTTCCTCTAGTTCCTAAATGCTTCCTCCTCCCCCACTATCATGATCCCAATTCTACCTTACAAATCCAGCTAGACCAGAGGATGTACTGTACACTGGTACAGACAGGAACTGGAAACACGGGGAATCCAGGACCGATGATCCCTTCAGGACCAGTGGTGAGAGTGGCGATACCGGGAGGGTAAAGGGAGGGTGGGTTGGAAAGGGGGAACTGATTACAAGGATCTACATGTGACCCCCTCCCTGGGAGACGAACAACAGAAAAGTGGGTAAAGGGAGATGTCGGACAGGGCAAGATATGACAAAATAATAATTTATAAATTATCGAGGGTTCATGAGTGAGAAGGGAGCAGGGAGGGAGGGGAAAAAATGAGGACCTGATGCCAGGGGCTTAGGTGGAGAGCAAATGTTTTGAGAAGGATGAGGGCAATGAATGTACAAATTTGCTTTACACAATTGATGTATGTATGGATTGTGATAAGAATAGTATGACCCCCCCTAATAAAATGATTTTTAAAAAACTGTATTTCATGGAGCCAAGCAGGCATGAGCATAAGTCCAGGATTGATCTCCACAGAATGCCATTCCAATTCACTCCCAAAGATCATGAACTCCACTCCAACATTCCAGGGCATCTCTCCCTTCTTCATGTGCCTATTTTAACTGTTCAGCCAGTCTGTTTCTTTTGAGAAATGTGTCTAGTAGGATTCACTGACATACTCAGGTTCAATCACCATGAGCAACCACAGAACTAGACACCACGATCGACGCTCATCAAAATGTGACGTGAAGGCCTTTTGAAAGTGTTGACTTCATGTTTCCCAAGCGCTTACTCTTTGGGGGGAAGGAGAAAGCATAATTCTTTGGAGCTTGAGCTCAAGTTATTTCCACAAATAAAAATTTAGTTGAGTCTTGTTAGTGGCTCCATTCCGACATGCAAATTGCATATAAATTCTGATTTTTCTTTTATAAATTATCCATGATCGTTTTTCTTGCTTTTCCAAGTTCATTATAGACAGAAGCATCGGCATTTGATAAAGTATAATTTTGTGAGCAACTATGGATTACCAACATCATCCAAATGGCCTGGAAGTTAGAGATGGTCAACGGGATGAAGAAGAACATGGATACCTGGGGGAGGATAACTGTGCATCTTCCCTTACATGCAAAGCCCCATTCAGTGGGCAATGGAGCTAAAACCACCAACTTTCTCTTTTCACATCTGAAACTGCTGATGCCTCCGTTTTTAAAAAGGCATTTATTGGGGGCGACTACAGCTCTTATAGCAATGCACACATCCATGGTGTCAAGCACATGTATACATAAGTTGCCATCATCCTTTTCAAAACATTTTCTTTCTACTTGAGCCCTTGGTATCAGCTCCTTGGGTTTTTCCTCCCTTCCCCACCCTCCCTCACTCACAAACCCTTAATAATTTATAAATTATTATTTTGATATCTTACAATGACTCCTGTATTCCTTCACCCATATGTCTGTTGTTCATCCCCCT